TACATTAGATTATCACTGGCAATCCATACGAATCTGGATTATTCCTGTTGCTTTACTGAAGTGCCTCATTCACTTACTGACCTGCTGCACAATTTCTCACCGGGCGCTGCCTGATGAGGCTGTGAGAGTCCAGAGACGGTGATTGGCTGATGGGTGCGGGACACTGTCGAGTGAATCTGGCACTGGTGTGTCTGGGTCTGTAGTGTCACATCGAGCTGTGTCTGTCTGTAACCAGCCACATCAGCCCCATGTCCAACGAGATGCCGCTAAAAGCTGCCGGTTTGGCCATGTGAGTCCATAAATCGAGGGTGCGGGAGTGCAGCACTATCGAGTGAGTCCACCACTGTCAGATCCATAGTGCTCGATTGGGCATCACCCAGGATCTAAGACCAGTCACCCTCAGCTCCTCCAGTTATCTGAGGGTCAGCTGGAACACAAGGGAGCTTATTTCCTGTCAAATTATTTCACCACCCTTTTCACACAACACACGGTGTACCGATGTATACTGAGATCAGTCAGACCACCATTTCTAATCTGCACAGGTCAACCAGCTATATTCTAAGTGCTTCATTCTTCACTGCCCAACATGAGCTACTTCTCTTTCTATTTAACTTTTTCCAGGATGGACTAAATGACTGATGATGGTAGTTCCCAAGACAAAGAGCACATTATTTTACCCAGTGATCCATATTCCCTGCATGAGGTTCCAGTGCTATGACGCAATTTCCACTGCAATCCCACCACAAGCTGCTATGAAGCCAGCAGATCTTGAAGCAGGTAAAGACAAGTGGATGGTGCTTTGGTGGGGTAAGCTCTCCGGCAATCACAAGGAGCTGCAATTCCTGTTTCCAGTCCATTTTGTAGTAGCAGACCGAATGATAGACCCAAAGGACAAATTTGGACATTCCTGGTCCTGCAGCAGAATGAGCTCAAGGAAGGGAAAGGCCTGTAGATCACTCTCCCTACTTCGAGAGTGTTTGTTACTCTATGCTCTAGGGCTTTCCATGCAGCCTTCCTTACCAGCAAAACACTCAACTACTTTTTAATCAATCAATCAATCAATCAAAGAAATCCACTTGGTAGATGTTTATGTTCCAATTTGAAATCTAAGAGCAAGTATGAATAAACACAAAATACATGATGGATTTACAGCCCAAGTGATTGCACACTTAAACATCAACAAATGTACTTATCTACCATAGATTACACAGTTAAAATACACTTTGTTAATTTAAGATTTTTCTTTTGCATGTTCTGTTTTCAAACCATATACTTACCTCAAAAACAAGAAATGAAAAAAATAGTTAATTTTTAGCTAAGCCTAACCATAATCATAGAATCATTCTGGTTGGAAAAGACCTTTAAGACCATCGAGCTCAACCAAAAACCTAACACTGCCATGTCCACCACTAAACCATGTCCCTAAGCACCACATCTACATGTCTTTTAAATCGCTCCAGGGATGGGGACTCAACCACTGCCCTGGGCAACCCCTTCCAATGCCTGAAAACCCTTTAAATGAAGATATTTTCCTAATATACAATCTAAATCTCCCCTGGTGCAACTTGAGGCAATTTCTTCTTGTCCTATCGCTTGTTCCTTGGCAGAAGAGACCAACTCCCACCTCTCTACACCCTCCTTTCAGGGAGTTGGAGAGAGCCACAAGGTCTCCCCTCAGCCTCCTTTTCTCCAGGTTAAACAACACCAGTTCCCTCAGCCGTAAACTCAGCACACTTGTGCTCCAGACCCTTCCCCAGCTCTGTTGCCCTTCTCTGGACACGCTCCAGCACTTCAATGTCTTTCTAAATAGTGAATTCATATAACAAATAATAGTAAATCCATTAAATGCAACATGTAGATTATGCACATGTAACATGGTTCAGCCAATAAATGGTGTTTGAAAATTATAAGCATTTTCTTTATAGCATTATGATGCTTTTGAAGAAGTAAAGACATTGTAAACTTTTAGCTTTTGATAATGATTGGAAATTGAAAATAGAAATCTGTATCCTGTTCTTCAATATTTTGTCACTTTTTATTGCAGCTTCTTCAAACTGATTTTTAATGAAGTACAGACAGCTGTGTTGGAAAATTAATGGTGAAAAACAACTGGAAAGATGCAAGGGCCAGTTCAGAAAAAAAATACTACAACAGGTTATGTCAAGAGGTTCTTGATACCATGGACAAAATAAAAATTTCTGTCAACATTTTCTCCCTTCTTGAGACCACTAAAATCAAACCACTCCTAAATCCTACTGATGCTGTTGACTTCCTTTCCAAAAACTCTGAAGAACAGTTCTGAAGAGTCCAAAGCCTAACAAATTAATATTGAGTTCACTGGTGGGTGGATAACCTGGTTAAGATCGTGGCAACGACCTTGAGTTTAGAGATCATCTTTAAAATACACAAAAGCTTTTTCTCACCTGGCTTTGGTCCATGTGTCACCCAATGACATCCATAACTGTCCTTCCTCACCGGTGACAGTAAATCGCAGGAAGTCTATAGTATCTTTTGTTAAGAGAGGGCTGAGTACTGTACCAGCAAGCTCTGGACCTCCTGTTGTCTGTACCACCTAAATCCAAGTAGGAAAATAATACACAGAACATACACATTGTCAGTAAGGAAGTTCCTGTGAATATAAGTTACCTACAGCGCTGCTAGGAAGCATTTATTAATCACAAAAACAACCCCCTCCCTAAAATAAAAACCACCGAGAAGCTAACAATGTGTCTCAATGTCCTCCAGATTAACTAAACTATTTATTGCAGAAGAACTGCTGTTCTGGTCACCAGTCATTTTATATTTAGACCCACTTTTGCCAATGTTATTTTTACTCTACTAATCAAAACCATACATACTTCCATTAAACAGATATATAATTATTTTCAACTCTCTGTCCTCCTGCATTATGCAAATTGTCTCAATTTTTTATTTTAATTAAAAATTATAATTGTAAACTGCAACACACAAACCTAAAGATGATTTAAATAAATATATTTAATATATGAGATTATACACAGGAAAGCATATAAGTTATTTTCTAAAGAGAATCTCATCCTGAGATATACAAGTTTCTCCTTAGTTACTGTCCAGGGACACAACATTGCAATCTTGTTATCCTTGAGAAGGTTACAGAGCACAAAAATACAAGAGTTCTGAAGGAAAACACTGAGAAAATTATAAAACTAAGCTTACCATCTGTAGTGGGGTAAAGAGAAAATGAACCAGTTCAGCTGCACTAGGATTCTGGATATGGAACTTTAATTTGGCCTGAAGGAATGGGAAAATGATACATGTTAAGAAATGGTTAATTTTTTATGCCAATAAATACTTCACAGATGAATGGCCATCCCTGGTCAGGTCACAGGTCTGCCTAAGCCCAGTATTTTGTCTGCAACATCTGCTACGTGCAAGTGCTTGTTCATCCAACTGCTTTTGAATCCATGTATATCTTTAGCACCTATTGTGCAAAAGAAGAAGTTCCACAACAGCATTATAGGCTTTGTAAAGAAGCATCTACTTTGGAAATTTGCCTTCTTAGTTTTATTAGTATTCTGTAGTTTTTTTTCCAAATGAAAACTGAGCAGACTTTCTCTACTTGCTTTTTTCCAGTGATGCTTATAACTATTTACAGATTTATTACATTCTTCCTCAGTCTGGTCTGTTCCAAGCTAAAGCAACTCCTTCGAGCATTCTTGCCCTTCCTGTACCTTCTTCAATTTTGCTTCACTGGGAACAAAATCAGGCCAGGGAACATAACAGTATATTGATGCTCTTTATTTGTTAGTTTTCTTTATTGTTTCCTAATGGTTCTTAACATTTGTTTGGTTTATCATTATTGAACATGGATGACATTCTCACAGGAATCTGTAACACATCAACATTTTGTTCTGCTTTGTTTTACATATGAGATTTTTCCCTACCTGCCCATGCTCTATCATATCTATCAACATTGAATTTCATCTGTCACTTTATCTGCTATTTTATACATTAAATGCTATTTATATGCTATTTTATATGTAGATATTTCTACACTTGTAGACCCTACACTCCCCATTTGCCAAAACACATGTCAATAAGTTGGACACCAAAGGTCTCTGCAGAACCATGTGTGGGACTTCACTGCTGAATTTACTGCACTTTGATCCAGCATTTTAGTTCTGTAATTTGTTTTCTGTATTACCAAACAAGAATCTAAGAAGTTACATTCAAGTTCACAGTAGCTCTGTTTCTTTAAGAACTTCAGGGTGTGCAACCTTTAGAAATCCAAAGCAACAAAATCAAATAATTGATGGATTTGTAGACATTCTTTGTTTGCAAGATGCATGTTTGCTCTTCTTCAATTTAATATATCTGCCTACAAATTGCATCCCATATGTGGCTACCTCAGGAGTACCTGGTTGTCGTAGTCCTTCAGATCCTTAAAATGACTTTAAAGATTATCAGCATTACCTTAACCACTTCTCTTCCTCTGGAAGGAAGGCAGTTTGAGAGGTTACACACCACACTGTGTGCTTTGCTGACTTAGTTTTTGGAACAGATGGATGAATGGTGCCCACTCAAACAGGGCTTCATCTGCCTGTAACTTGCCATTTTGATTGGCTGTTCTTTAATCCATTACCAGTTCTTCAATATGAAACAGATAATCTCTTGCTGCCCCCATTTTTTGTTAATGAAAACAAAAGGTTTTCATTAACATGTTGTCCACTATCAAGCTTTTCCAAGTAAATATATACATTAAAAAAAATCATATACTTTCTCTGACACAGCTTTGCAGAGGATTTTTTTAATTTACTGATCACCCACTGGCCCTGCAGACTCCAGAAGTAAGCAGCATGCCAGAATGTATTTTAAAAAGTTATAGTAGATTTTATTGCGTCTTGCTGTCTGTTCCTCGAACTGCTTTTGGCTAGCCTCATTCTACTTTTACATCTAACCTCCTAGAGCGTGCCTCCAAATGAAGAAAGGAGGAGGATGTGGTTTTACTTCTAATAACTCCCTATACATTGTTCTTCAGTCACAACTTTCAGTCTTTCTGAAGTGTTTTTGACAGATGTTAGACACCTTCTAGGAGCTTCCAGCATGGTGGTTTACAACTGTTTCCATTCTACCAGCAAAGATTTTATTCTTCTACCTACTTCTTTTATTTTTAAACTAGATTCTTCATTTTATACAGTTCTCCATGTCTGACATAAAGGACCAGGAAGTAAAATTTCAGGCTTTTGTGGCTCCTGCAATGATGCTGAAGTAAAGCATTGTTACAGCACAAGTCTTCAAGAGCAACATTAGAAACCAGGTCCTAGAAGCTGCTGAGCACCAAAACAAGAACTGCTTCTTCTCCTGCACAGAAGATAAAGATTCAAAGATGCACACGTCGTTCTTGGGTGAAAAACTAACTTAAATGCAGAACGTGCTAAGAAGTAAGAATGGGGAAATAAATGAATGTTACAAGCACTATTACTGAGAAGAATCAGCATGTTCCAAGACATCCATCCCTGACAAAACAGCAATCCTTTAAGGTCAGAATAACCCTTTGATTTAGGGTTGTTTGGTTTTGTTTGTTTGTTTGTTTTAAATATATAGTCTTAACATTTCTAAATATCTCCTACAGGCCTGTAATCAGAATTCATTCACCAAGAGGAAGAAAAAAAGTTGTTTTGACTCAGTGAATGCAAGAACAATTTTCCCCGTTGTCATTCATAGCTTCCCCAGTCAGTATCTGAAAGTAAACACTTTGAAGGTGTCCAACATGCTGCCTTCTTTTAATAGCACTTGCAGAAGAGGAGATGCCTGTAGAAGGCTCTTGAATTAGTACCTCTGCTTGTCAAGAACCTATAAAGTCACACCAATTTGTCAGATGGAGCATCCTGAGGCCAGAAAGGTCTTACGTAATGACAGCAACAAGCACATAGAGTCTGATGGGTGTAGCTGAATAAAACTAAATTAAGACCACAGCTGGTGATGCTGGCAAGCATGCAATAGAGCCATGATCCCCACAGACGTTCCTAGAAATACTTTCATGATTTAAACTCAAATTTCCCAAGTAAAAGCCTTTAAAGAACCACAAAAAGAAGAAACATAACAATGCTGAAAAAGACATATGCTCAACTAATCATTGCGTACAGAACTTGAGGAGCAGCATCCCAAAGCTCAAAGGTCAACTTAGGCCAGAGGTGGCCAGCTCTGTTCTTGCCTCAGTTCAGCCTTGGATGGAGAAGGAAAAGGTGAAAGTCCAAGTCTAGTCAACTATCAGCTGAGCTATCTTCCCGTGTGTCAGCCAAGGACCAAACCAGATAACATTTCCATGTGTATCAGCTTTCTTGAAGAGGATACTTGTGCGTTTGCTCTTTCTGAATGAGCAGTGGAGACCAAGACAACACAGACTCAGTCTCACAACTCCCTGAATGGCGTGACTATCTCTGCACAGCTGGCAGCAGAAGGGCATTTCAGATCCATAAGGTTTCTCTACATAGACAAGGCATGAGGAAAGTTAGGCAGAAGGCAGAAAACTTGATTACAGCATTCCCAAAGACAAGATGACCTTCTGCAGCTCCCTCAAGAGCATCAACAATAAAGCATCCACACTCTCTGGAATAACAGGAACCTCCAAGAAAACCCTATTTAAAAATAACTACAAAGCAAATTCATGATGTTACTGATTCTTCTTTCTTTTCTTCATCTTTCACCATAATTTTAGTTCTTCACTTCATACTAGAGGAATAAGGAAAACCAATGCAAAAAACTGACACCCAACTTAAGTTGTAGTTGAAAGGAAAACAAAGATCATGTTATACTTAACATGAGCTATACTTAACTGTTACCACATGCCTCACACCACCATATCCCCTAGCAGTCACTTACCAGAAGATTGAAGCCATGCTTGAATTTTTGGAAGCAGTCAACAAATTCATCTGGAGCTGGTGGTTTTGCACGGAGGGTAAGAACTCCCTCTGGTGAACAAAATAAGATTTTTAAATATCCAGTTATCTGGTATATAATTTCTATAAATATTACAGATATAGTAAACATATTAACACATAATAAATTTACCAACTTACAGAATTTTGTAAATATAGAAATATGACATATTCTGTGGTCACATGTCTAATTACTAACTCCCCACTGACTTCAAGCAAATGATTTTCATAGGTTTTCCTCTAAGAATAGACCGCATAGGATTTTTTGTGCTCAAAGAGAAAGAAAATTATTATATTAATGAAAAAAAACCTAACACAAAAAGACACATTTGGTAGCTAGTTCAACAATCTTTAGAGAAACAGAATAGTATGCAGTAAGAAGTCCTACCTCCAGGTCCTTTCTTTTTACTTTTCTTAGTTTTCTTCCTCTTTGAAAGTTCAGCAAAAGCTTCAGCAGCTTTTTGAAGTTTGGTAACAAAATATTCAATGTCATCCAAAATATGGTTCAGAATTTGCTATGGGAGAAAATAAAGTAACATTTTCTCTACAGAATCTATAGCAGATATACTCCAGAAATTAAAATGACCATACTCTCAGAAACAAAACATCTTCCTCACTCAATCCTAGAACATGTAATATTTAGATTCATTATGTTCTTAACTTTACACATTTATAAAGTATTTAAAATCTTAGATTTTTAAAAACTTAGGGCCACTGGAAGTTTTTAAAATGTGAGGAAAAAGATTATTAAATTCAGATTGCAATTACACAATTTGTTCACAAATTAAATTTTCTTTGACAGTACACGAAAAATTTCTAATTATTCGAATGGACAGTCTTTTCCTAAACAGTATAACTTCTTAATCTCCTTTAATACAAAGTATTAAGCTATTTATTGAATATCAGAATGTGGTTTCATAGAGAAATGCTCTTTGAAGAATTGTTTTCAAAGAGCAAGTGGAGGAGAAAGAATAAGCCTCTGGGAAAAACACAAATACACCAATTCAGTAAGCCCCAACATGTTTCCCTCAAGACCCTCTGATGTTGCAGAGGGCAACAGCAGAGTAGAAAAGTAGAAAGTTATAACTGACAAATGAGGCAACATCTGATACCACATACATCATAGGACTTGTGCAATGTTGTTGCTTATAGGCAAGAAAAGTTTAGGTTACACATATACATGGTCCACCTGTCTTCAGAAATGACCACATGCTTATTTGCAAGATATTGCACACATCTAAAGTCCCACTAAATTGGTGGAATTTTTATCCTTACGTAGTTTGCTGAATATGGTGGTCTGCCACACAAAACTACTATTTATATTTCTAGCTCTTCAGAGGAGAAAACTTTACATCAACATTCAGTCCTTTTTTTTTTTTTGTTTTTTTTAAAGAAGAGAAAAATAACTACTCCCTATTCATTTTTAGGTCTACCATACATAGGCTGCCTGCAAATCTTTCCTCTAGAACTGAATTTTCCATGTGGAAAATGAAGTAGGTAGGGCTGCAAAATTTCACAGATATTAAGCAACATCATTTGTAGTTTCTCACTTACAACATCTCTGTCAATCCTGGCTGCTATCATCTCTGCTGTTTCTTCATGATCATGGTATTGTCTATGTTTTTCAACTGCAGAAAAGGGAAGAAGATAATAAAACATCTATATATGCAGAATTAGTAACCAACATTTCCTAGGCATATTATGCTTTATACCATACTACTGTAAGAAAAAGATGGACAAAACTGTTTGTACCATTCACTTCACACACAATCTGAACATCTTGCAGCCTAATGCCTGATTCTGCCAAGTCTCATTTAAAAAAAAAAAAAAAAGCTTAAGTGTATGTTTTCAGTTAACTCAGCTGCGTAAATGAAGTTGACCAAAGAAGTGCGGTACCAGGGTCTAAATAAAAAATTACAGCAGAAAGTGGCAGGTGATAAATACAATGTGTAATGAGAAATCATCCCATTTTGCAAAATACACTGAAAGCTACTCCAGCAGAAGGAAGAAACAGTGTAGCTGTGACTTGAAAGACAATTTTGAAGTAAAAGGTAATTAGCAAAAAGGGATGCAGTCTGGCAACATAGAAATAGGAGGTAATGAGGTGATAGAAATTTTATATCCAAACAACAATGGACAGTCAGTGATTTTTATTTGAAAACAACAAGGGTTAATATTTTGAGAAATGTTTTGCATTTTTAAGTAACACTAAACACTGCTTTGTGTTTTTTAGCAGGTGGGATTTTAGTAAATACATTTTAGAAAAGATCCACGAGTGGAATTAAAGGGACTGCAGGAACTCAGATCCACAGTGGTTTGGCAAGACAATTGACAAAATCATGACACTTTTATGAAGTGAGGACAAGTCAAGCAGAAGAACAGTCTTGAGCCTTTACTCAAGACATGTAATGTTGTAGATTAGGAGGTGAAAACATTCTTAACATTACAGATTCCTCTGAACATTTTTAGTCATTTTCTTCGCATAGTTGTATACTTTGTTGAGTCAAATAGATATAGTTTTAATAAATAAAAAAACAATAAGACTCCATGGTTAATAACCTCTAATTCTAAAATTTTAGTATCTATTATCAAAAAAAACCCAATCAAACAAAACAAAAAAAGGCTTCGCCTTAACCTTAATACAATCTGTTTTACAGAAGAACCTTTATTGTTTCTAAAGAACATTTTTTCCAAAGAAATACAGTCAAAATAAAAATGTTTTCATTAGAGATTTAAAAAGCCCCACAAACCACCAAACAAAAAAACCCCAAATGCATTAGAAATGCTACAGTATTCCTTGGTTAAGGGTTTAAAAAAAATAAAATAAAATAAAAAACCCCTAGTTTAGCCATATAGGCCATTATAAAGAAAATTGTAAAATAATAATAAAAAAGTTGATCTTTAGACACTTTTTAATCCATTATTGTATTTTTTAATTGCCCATAATACCTGGCCTACGCTCTCCCTATTACTGAAGAGAGCATCATTAAATTATTAGTGATGACAGTATTGGTTACTGTGAATGTTATTATGTCCACAAAAAAACCCAGGTCAAAATTGGTAGCTCACACCCTCACCCAGCTAAACACAAGTAAAAACAGTTCTGAACAGAAATTCAGAAAATGGATAAGTGCAAGTAAATGACAAGTCAGATTACGGCAGACAGGTCTTATTCTCCAGATGAGGCAGGGGTGGCTTGGGGCATTTCAGACTAGACTGGGAGAATAATCCTGTCTGCTCTCAGCGAGGACAGAGGGGTGACCTCGTTCAACCATTTCTGTATCTGGATTCAATTACTGTAGTGGTCTTTCCAAATTATTTTTGTTATTACCCAGGATCATAAAAACCTACTGCCCAGAACAACTGTTTGTGTGTCAGCAGGCTCCCAGAAATACTCACACTCCCCCTGCTCTGCAGCCCACGCGGACCACGCTGCCACGCGGCTTCTCACATCCACCTGGGTGATGGTCCCGGGTGGCACAGGGGCAGGTGCCCGCGGAGGTGGAGGGATGGTGCTGTCAGCTTTGGATATCATCCTAGAGGAAGAGAAAAATGCCCAGAAGTGACACTTGAAGTAGAAACATTCTATTTTGTAGTGCATAATCAGAAAGGACAAGGAGGCTTTACAAGGACTTCCTCTACTGTTGAACATACTATGGACTTGCCCAGTAAGGAGTACTCAAGAGCATGATGTGTAAATATGTTAAACATAGTAGGAAATCCATTCCATGATGGGGTTAGCAAATCTGTGTCACCTGGCCATGTGGAAAATCCCCAAGGAGTGCCACAGATACTGATGCCTAGAGATCTGCCAGTTTACACAGGTAAATTCAGCAGCTTGGGTTTACCAGATGGCATTTTTACCACCATATGCAGTCCATATGGGTGGACTTTCATTTTGTTTGAAATTTTTGATTGTAAGTTACCTTTCAGCCATCACAAGTTGATTATCTAGTCCCTAAATTTGACAGGTAGTCAACCACCTGCTTTTTAAAACTCTACCAACAAAACCAATTAAATTTACAGGTTGTTCTTCCTTTTTATTTCAGTGGCCTGTTCATCCTGTCTCAATACAAATGTATCATCCCATCATAGACTGTATCAATTTTCCCACCTGCAATTTTCTATTTTTCCTGTTCTTAATAGAGTTTTAAATACCATAAGGAAAAAGGTCTTTGAAGGTATTCTACAACTTGATACCAAATGACAAAAAATCCCAGCAACTCCTGTGACACATGCATCCCATGCCTTCTCCACATCCCCACTTACAAGCAAAATCTCACCTTAAATTCTTCTTTTTATAATCCCATCTCATTCATGGCATTCAACACCACCACAAAACATCAAGTATTATTTGGTATTTGAACACTGAACAAAAAAATACTGCTTCCATCACCATTCCTTCTTCCAGTCTCCTGGGTGCTCTTCTCTGCACATCCCACACTTCTTGTCAGTAACCTTGCAGCAACTTGACAACGCAATGTCAGGGAGGAGGGTCTCTCCCCATGACCCAGTGTCAGCACATACATGATATGACAGCGAGAAACGGGCGCTGAGCTGTCATGTACTCACAACCTCTTGGCCTGACAGTCCTCGGAGACTGATATCTCAGGTTATTTTTCCCACTAGATGTACTGACCTACATTCTTTTCACAATTAAATCTCATTAGTTTCCCAGTACATCCAATGTGTTTGAGTCCTCCTGGATTACCTCTTTGTGCTTGTACTTGTTTGTTAGAGTCCCACAAATGGTAAAGTGTACTTACTTAATTTTAAACCCACAGTTCAGATATTTTTGGTTCTATAGGAGTGTCCATTACTTGAGGAAAATGTCATGAGTTGCACATCAGAATTTAATAGGTAACTAAGACTGTTCTAAACTTGTTCATATAATGATTATGTTTTTACTTAATGACTTTTGCCCAGCAAAGACTTCTCTATCTGAACCACAAAACTAAGTGTTATCGAGAGACATGCGGTTAAATACTAAATTTTCAACAGACTGCCACCATAACCATTCAGTATCTAATATATTTGTGTCCTTGTTGTTATACCTCTGTTGGCTTCCTCTCATTTCTGTGTTAATCTTCTCTGAAACCAACAGACTCTTTTCCCTCATTTTTCTTACTGGCAGAGAAACTTTTGCTATGAGGGAAACAAGGAGTCTTCAGCATCATTAAACAGATAGACAGAAAGACTATTCAATCTTCAGTTTCTGTTTTATTTAACATCTTTAGATCCCAAACCCTTTTATCAGGATCTTACTTACTTGCACTTATGGGGCATTTATGTTTTTAATTTAAATTCTGAACTACTTGACCCATATGCAGAACGGAGACTGGTATTGGTGGCAGCTGTTCCCGTCACTAAGGTGGAATCAGGAAAGGTAAGAGTGATGCTATAAATTGAGAGAGCATGAGCTAATTATTAAAGCAAAGCCTCTATGTGTGGTTTTTTAAGTATATTAGGTGTTCCTGCTCCGGCAGGGGGATTGGACTAGATGATCCTTCGAGGTCCCTTCCGATCCCTGACATTCTGTGATTCTGTGATTATCATCTATTGATAAAGAGTAAAAAACAGCAGGCAGACTTGGAGAGCTTCTGAATGTGATAACACTATTTGGTGATCCTATATACTGGCAAGAAATTAGGTTTTTACCTCAGTGTTTCAAGTCTCTTTTTTTGTTTCCCACTCTTGCTGTCACTGATTGCACTTTCAATATCTTCATGAATAAAGCTAGCCTAAAGACAGAAGCAGAAACCATTAATTTATCAGTTATATCTCTCCATGCACTTTTTTTTAGGGCATCTTTAGATTCCAGAATCCCTTATCAAATCCCATTTATTTAAAAGTTCCCATTTATTATTTTACACATAAACTGAATGAAGAAACACACAATGCTGTTGTCTGGGAATTGATATTTTTGTCACTGTTCCAATCTCAAGCATTATCATCAGATGAGATTGTCATTTAGATACCAAATTTGTCTGAACACTGGTAATTATCTCAAGTCAACCATTATTGAATAAGCTATTTTTTCCCCTCCATGTACGTCATTTCTGTTTTTCTCAAGCAGGTTAGGCAAAAGACATACTATAAAAAAAACCCTACTATAGGTAGTAGCAACAAAACTACTATAGATAGCAGCAGCACAAAGGATTAGGAAAGTAACTTGTAGTGATACAGTTTCCTTCAAGGAATAACGATAGTCTCCAATTTCTCTTTGATTTAATAGAAGATGGATTTTTCAGAACACTTCCTAATCTTAGTAGGTTCCTGCCTCCTGATAACTGCAGTCTGCCTCTACCAGTGGCCTACAAGTGAAATTTTGATGCATGTCTAAGGCATTATTTTAATAGATCTTGCATTAAATAGGTCACTGCTTCTCGTAGGATTTAGAATGCTCTGTTACACGTCTTCAGCTGACAAATTAATTTCCTACACAGGTTGTCAAAGCCCAAATCTGTCAATGCCTGGCTTACACTACAAGGTCCATGTCTTTCTTAGTACCCTGTAATGGATGAGTATGTCACTTTTTGGGAGGAATATGTAACTTCTGCCAGGACCAGAAGACTTTGTTGAATTTAGGATACAAGACGACTAAAGGAATTCTTGGGCTCTAATGAACTGCGCTATACAATATGGAAAGAGGATACATTAAGGTTAAAAAATTAGTAGAAAAAACTTTAGGGGGTTTGAGGAACTTAAACTCAGAAGAATTACATTAATCATACTCTTGGTATTTATTGTTTCACAATTTTTTGTTTAGAAAATAGTGAATGTCCCAAATATTATTGATTTTAACTAATTTTTTATTGCAGAGGCTCCTGAGGTTCATTGTAACTTCTAATTAAAAGCAGGAAAAAAGCAAGGGAGAAAGATCTAACCTTTCAAAAACAGCCCCATTACATTATCAATTGGAATTTAAAGAAATACCAATTATATAGAGTAGCTAACAAATTAAAATTTATAACCCTAGAAATACAGAAGTATTGCAGAATACATTAAAAATGTATTTACGCTTGAAGGAAATATTTTAAGCAGAGATGAACAGTCTCTTTCCTTGTTTTGCCCCTCCTGCAAGTAATATTTTCATTATCTCTGCAGCAGAGCAGAGATGCAGAGAGGTGTGAATGTAGAGAAGGTTTAATTGTCTAGTGACAAAAAGAGCAGAAAAAGGGGAAAGACTAAGGAAGCCTCAGGGCTCAGATGAGTGCTTTGTATAGATTATAAGATAAATTTGAGATAACTCAAACTATTTTACACTGTTTTCTTCAGAAGTGTGAATGTAAACCATATACATACTCCAGAGCTTTATTCATTTGCAAACCTAAATAAACAGCTACAGAGCCCAAGAACCAATATTTATAATAACAACATATTTGCACGTGCACTAAATATTCAGTTTGCACACAGGACTACTCTCTTGCAAGACATATCACATTTAGTAACATACTATAAGTAGTGTTCATATCATAAATTAATTAAAGTGTATTTATAAGACTAAAAGAACACAATTATTTTCTATGAAGCAGTACAATTGATTTTATCCACCAAACTTGCCAATTCATAAAATTTCCCCTATTCAAATCAGTCATAGCAGATCTCCATTGCTTCCTTACCTTAATCTCATCACATTGGAAAAGATGCAAATCGGGCTTGTTTTGGGTTGGTTCTTTACACACTAATGCAAGAATTGAATTGTAATTGCATGCATTCATCACAGCTTGGCAATGCTGAATGGTGCTTAAAGGAAAATTCTCCAGTTCATTCTGCCAGAAGAGGGAAAAAAAAAAAAATCAAACACAAAACACCACCTTCCTCTACAGTGTCCTGATCTCTGAAAAGCTGCACGAGTTAAAAATGGAAAGTGATAATAAGCTAATTAAAATCCCAAATCTCACATACATAATTTTTCTGACTGTTCTCTTTTTTTCCTCTCTCTCTCTCTCTCTCTGAAAATAACACTGCCACTCACAGATCTTACCTTTGATTCCAAGTCCACCAAACTGACAGCTTTGTCATCCACTTGAAGAATCATATCTTGAGTCCACACTTTGCCTTTGGCATCCAGCAATTTCAGCTTCCTTATTCCATCATCTACTGTAATCATTGCCTCTTTTCGGTCCAGAACAAAGGTGGTCAAGTGCTAGTGAATGGGACGTACATTTATTAAAAAAAAAAAAAAAAAAAAAAGCCATTTTCCCTATTGCTTGGCAGTGTCAGTATTCAAATTGTCAGGAAATAGCGACACAAATTATTTATTAATAAAAGCACTTTTGCATATGACAGATCCCACCAATAAACCATAAGAGAGGTTGTTCAGTCCATAATGTCATTTTAAATCAACCAATTTTTGTAACTCACTGTTTGTCATCCTCTGGCATTTCCTCACTAAAGTGGTTAGACTTGAAGGCGTATTCTGACATCTTTCAGGTATCGCAGCTAAAATTAAACCCTGAGTATTTAATTAGCTTTCTTGAGGAGTGAAAACCTGTCTCTCTTGGCAAGCTGAATCCAGGAAGCATTAGCAGAAGCTTCCCAGAAACACCCTGCCAACATACCTCCACCATCACCCTGACCTGGAGTGTCCTCATCTCTTCCAGAGCTGCCAGCTAGCATGCTGATGGCAACCATGATGGACTTGCATCTGACTGGGAGACCTTATGGACAGGCTAGTTATTTCTTTTATATGGATCACAGTAGAAATGTAGTACACTAACTACTTTTGCTCACCATCAACTTGGAATATTCTTCAGATTCAATTAATGGTCCAGAAAATGAATACTGCCTCCCAGACATCACCTCAACTAGATTCCCTGTCATTATGGTTTTGAAAAATTTCTCCTTCAACATGCCAACCATGCAAGACAACCCATAAAATTATTTCATTTTATCCAGGCACAAATCCAGCTTAACATTCTTACTGAAGACTTGGTTACACTCATTCAAGCTGACCCAATTTTAATATATGCTTGCACATCTACCTTCTAAATAACTAAAAAAAAAAAAAAAAAAAAAAAAAAGAGAGAAAAAAGAAGAATTAAATGTGCTTTCTTCTATGACAGGATAACAACACTTAATTATGACAGACAAGAGAGGAGATACAAGCTGCATATAATCAAAGTGTCTCAAAGAAGTAAAATGAAACAAACTCAATACTGACTGCTCACACAGGAATGCTTAAACTCCAAATACAAGTACTAATTTTTATGCCAGCATGGTATCAAAACTGTTACAAAGTAACCAAAGCAAAATACAGAGAGACAATTAGAAGAAACACAAGTATTCATTTGCAAGTTGATCACAGCATAGAAGCACTTGAAATTAAGACTCTTCTGCATATGATCTCACCATTTACAGCTAATTTAAAACCCAGAAAAAAAGGAGTTGAGAATCTATGGTCTTTGCAAGACCCAGGATAGTGGTCTGATAGCAGTGGGAGAAAGTTTGTGCCAAAGATTACAGAATGAGGCATTGCATCCAAAAGTGCTTAACAGGCTACATGTGGGCACCCAGGCTTACTTTGCTGACTATTTTAAATATAACTACTCCTGGATAAAATAAAACAGCAGCATACAGTAATTCTGCAAAGCAGCTTCAGATGGGAAGTAACAAACTTTGCACCTCACACTGGGGAAGAATCTGTGCAGGCAGAATATATCTAACTACTACATAGTGGACTAACTGGGGCTTTTAGGGGTTAATGCTCAGCTCCTTCTTGAATATTCTGTCACCTCTGTTGATTATAACTAATCAAAGTATTCATTTTAAAGATCATCCAGTGTGTCTGGCCAACAGCCCAGGGTTTTTCAGCTCTGCTTCATCCTTGCAAGAAGGCAGGTTCAGAGACAGGGCAGCATAACACATTGAATTGATATCCCATCGAGATCTCCTGTCTGTTTGCCAAACTACACACAACTTTGCTTACATTCTTCTACATCAAAATTTCATCTTATTACGGCAAAGCTGTAGAATTTGAGACATGTCAGTGTAATCTATTCTGAAGCGACCGCGGGCTGGCAGGATAACTTAGAAATTGTATATGCCTTCAAGCATATGTATCCTCAAAAATCACACAGACAAAAATAACTGTGTGTAACTGAAAGCTATAATTGGTATATCGCTCCTCGTCTCACCTCTACGTGATACTGCGACGTTTCGGATATGCTGCTGGCACTGTCTCGTGCATAATTCTTTCTTTGTTCTAGAGATGGAAGGAAAAGAAAGAATAATTATTCATTCAACTTCTTATCATGCTGTTTTGGATACTTCTCGGAGACACTGAAGACTAGTTGGATATACAAAAGCAGAAGATGAGCTGCTGATAATTTATTTCGACAGGAAAAAAAACCCTTCACCCCCACATAGTCCAGCACAAGGATCATACTTACGTCAATGATGTTGAGAGAGCTGGTGGGGGCAAACAAAAGCCAGTTATCTCATCACAGTGAGTCAGGACACTTGAGGGGAGCAGTGTTCTGACTGAAAACACTCCAGTGGGAAGCCTGGTTATTAAAATCACTGGTTTGCCACTTTGGTAGCAAGAGGTTAACCAGCATCAGGCTTACTGAATTTGTATGAACATACTTGCAAGCATGAGTATTATCTGATATACATTTTAAATCTGCAAAACAACAAAGCCACACACAAACCACACCTGATTTATCCTTTATTTCTTCCTAAAGTAGTCAATTTGATTAATTACTACTGTAGAAATATACATAGAAAGGGGTAAAAAAAAAAAACAAACCCAAAAACCCAAATAAAACAAAAACCCACAAAAATCCACACCACCTATCTCAAATACCTCTAAACAAAAATCTTTTTCAGCTGAACAAAACAGAATGCTGCAAATTCAGAAACATTGTTTGCATTTTACTCCATACAATTGATTATTACAACCAGGAAATCAGGGAAGAGAAAACGGAAGGTGAAGACATGACACACACCCACACCACAAAGTAATGAATTTGGTTGAATGCTGAAGAAAAATTTTAAGCTTTAGTGGAAAAAAATTTGAATGCAACATTCAGAAGGTTTTTTTCTTTCTTCACCATAACCTCTTAAGTGCCTGATCTGGAAGACCAGGAGTTTTGCCTAAGGAAGGAAGTCACTAGGAGACTTGGCTGAGAGAGGTCCAAGGAAGCTCTGCAAGTAGGCAATTCTTTTCTCTCCTTTTAATTAAATAACTTGATTTCTGATGTTCAAGTAAAATAGGCGGTTTTAATTTTGTTCAGAAGGAAAGTACCTGAAGTACATAAAAAATCCACCAATTTCATCAATTGAGTACTTGGGGGGAGGGGGGAGTGGATAAAAGTGTGTGATTCTCTTGGCAAGAAAGATAAGTTTCTTTTTGCAAGATAAAAAAGTGCTGACTACTACCAAGCACACGATCTGTGACACACAGAGATCTGCTACTGTACAGCAGCTCAGTTTGCTTTAGCAAGAGAAGTGTGCAGTGCAATCAGCCAAATTCAAGAACTCCATGGATTATCAGAATTTTTAACAAGGTGTGAATATTTTAAAATAAGTATCTTTAATTATCCACTATTCTGAAATGCCAGGGAAGAGGATCTGCATTGATTCCAACTGTAACTACTTTTTCTGCTTTTGCAGCACGTTACTTAAAGCTTTTTTGGAGGGGAGGTTGATTTTCTTTTTAACCACAATAGACACACATACATGCACACCCCACAAAACAGCCAGTAAAGCAGCACTGCCTGATTTGCTACCTTTCTTTTTTTGTTTGGATGATGATCTGAAGAAGTAAAGCCCATCTGTTCCTAACAAAACAAGGGAATTAAAAAATAGTATCTAGTTTAATTCCATAGAATTAGTTACATCTCCAAGGGGATCAGGTAACAGTCTTCTGTTATGGACTATAAATGATAGTTAAGTGCTGTCCAGTAAGAAAGAATATATGTTTAAAAAAAAAATCTCACTTGTTTCAATTAACAATGCATCAAATATTCAGCTTTGACTGTCCTTACCTTTTTAAGCATTATTTTTTTAAGGATATAATCAAACTAGGATAAGAAATTTTACATCCACTGTTAAGGATTCTAAATCCTGAAAACAATAACAGTTAGAGTTGTTTTAAACAAACAAAGAATATGTAGAGGCTCCAAAGGAATTAAGAAGAGAGTAACTTTTACAAGAGATTCCCTTACTCTGCTTCACAGAACTTTTGTCCTGTGTTAAGACAGGATATCCAAGACCATTTGTAGCACTGATTTATACATCCTCTTCTACAGAGCAGCCCTAACCCTCACAATAGACATGATGGCAAGGTTTTCAACACCCTATGTCATGGTGAGAACAATAGTGTTTATATAAGAAATAGAGCTTTCTGAATCCTAATAAAATCTGTGGTTGCCTACAGTTGAGAGTCAAGGAGAGCCCCTCAAGTTCTGTATTCTTAATTGCAACAGAATAGTAACAAGAATTTCAATAACATTTCCAATTAGCAAAAGTCCATCTCTGTGTTAATAAACAAAAAGTATGGTCACCACAACAACTGGTGGTCCATACTGAGTTCACCAACAACTCCTATTAGTTTCTTTAATGCAGGTAGAATGATTATTAGAGCCTGGAGGAGAGGAGAGGAGAGGAGAGGAGAGGAATTTCAGTTGGAAGGGACCTACACGAAACATCCAGTCCAACTGCCTGATGAATTCAGGGCTGACCAAAAGTTAAAGCACATTATTAAGGGCACTGTCCAAAAGCCTTTTAAGCACTGGCAGGCTTGGGGCATCAACCACCATTTTTTCTCATCCTATAGAGAGCCACCATGTAACATATGTCACTTATGCAGATTTGGAGACTCTTTTCTGGGAGTCCAAGTGATGCAATCTGAACTCTGCAGTAAAGCATGCAAACTAAAACTGGGGAGACTTCCAAGTCTTTTTGCAGTTACAGACCAAACAAACAAACAAACAAAAAAAAAAAAGTGAAAGTACCTCACAGGCTCTTAACTACTTCTGTGTGGGTTGGATGAGCTAAGAAGTGGCCTGTAGCAGTTATGAATGTTGTCAACGCTGCTATAGAGGAGCTGGAGGTAGATATTATGGGTAACTGCTCCAACCTGAAATTATTCACCTTTCAAATGGAATTTTCTAATAAGCACCCCAGCATCAGGAAAATTTTTTCAATTTCTTCTGGAAAGCTTTTTCCTCAATCTTTGTTTTTCAACCCTTTTACAATTCAGTAGTCAGAAAGTGAGTCTCCTTTCCCATACAGGGTCAACCTGGCTGTTAATAAACCAGGCTCCCCAAGAGATAGTTTTCTTGGCTGCCTGGCACAAAATACACTGAAGGAAGAATGAATAAAATCCCCTCATGATAATATGAACATAATACAGAGAAAAAAAAACAAACCAACCACTGGCATCTATAATGCATCCCCTTTTCCATGGTTTTTGCCAGTAGCTCAAAACTAAATCTCGGCCTCTGCTTTCTCCTAGTGCCTGGCTCATGTCCCACATTCTACCTACAAACCTCCCCAAGTTCTCACCTTGCCCTCAGAAAGAAGGACACAAACCCTTTGGCACCCTCCCTTCTGCTGATGTGCTCCACTGCCTTGAACTTCTAGCAAAACTGATATAAGCCTGCAAACCTGTTCTGTGTCCTTCTCTACCCAGATGACACAAGAGTCTACTACTTCTTCCTGCTACAACACTTCCATGTCCAAGAAAATTAGCTCTATGCTAGTGAAACCAGGACACCATGTTTCCACTTCCAAGTCAGATATATCCGAGCACAACTCAGTCTTTTTCATCCGTACAGAGATCCTTATTTTCCTTCTTTTCCTGCAGAGTTGTCCATTGCCAGACTTCTGGAAATGTAGCTTCCATCTCCTCAACTCTTTCACATATCAAAGTGGGTGATTGTTATTCAGCAATATTTATCCAACTGCTTTTATAGAAACCCTGAAACACCTCTTGACTTACTGGATGATCTTCAAGGGCAAGTAACTCATACCCTACTACTGAAAACAAGCAACAGAATTTGCTGACTTGCTGAATGTACTAGGTCTGGGATGGAGTCAATTTTCTTCACAGCTGCCTGTATGGCACTGTCTTTCGGATTTGTGACCAAAACAGTGTTGATAACATAGGAGTGTTTTGGCTATTGCTGAACAGAGTCAAGGCCTTCTCTATTTCTGTCTGCCACCTCGGTGAGGAGGCTGGGGGTGTACAAGAAGTCAGGAGGGGACACAGTAGGGACAGCTGACCCCAACTGACCAGAGGGATATTCCAGACCATATGACACCATGCGCAGCAATAAAACAGGTGAGTAGTCTTTCCAAAGTAGCCCTTGTGCAGACTGTCTGGGCTTTGGTGCGCTCGTGGGAGGTGGTGAGCAACTCCCTTTGTGCTACTTGGGTTTGTTTTTTTTCTCCCTCCCTCTTTACTTCCCTTATTAAGTTGTCTTTATCGATCTGTCATTTTTATTCTTGCTTTTGCTCTTCTGATTCCCTCCCCTACCCCACTGTGAGAAGAAGACATGGTGAATGAGCAAGCAACTGCGTAGGTTGCTTAGGTCCTTAGTTGCTAGCTGGGGTTAACCCCTGACACTGAAAAAAATAAAATGTTTGCTATGCTCCATTTCACTCTCCTGATCAATCTCTGCCTCTCACAGGTCCCTTCATGCATGAAGAGAGTTACTGAAGCTAAAGCAAACTTCTGCAACAGAGACTTCCAGATAGGATGTATAAAACTATCAAAGGATGAATAAAACTATCAAAACTATTGAGTTTTTTTCTACTTACTGCAGCTCTTACATCCATCATGTAAAATACAGTGTAGCCTTAATACCACAGTTAGCTCAAACCCTGCTGATACACTGCACACAATTTACCTGAAGTATTGTCCCTCTGTTAAAGGGAAAAAAAATAAAAATAAAAAAGGATCATGGCAGAAGACACTTAAATTCTTAATCACAATCTATAGCAAAAGCAACCCAGAGGAATCTGAGCAAAATAAAATGTCTCACAAGGCAAAGGCAATAACCTTAAAAACAGCACAGCATTTCACTCATAGGCCCTGACTGTAAGACCTATTAGCTACTAAACCTTTCAAAGGAACACAAACATTGATCCACAGAAACTAATACTCTTCCCACCATCTCATTGGAGAGATGCTACTGCTATTTATGTCTTTGTGAACTTAACTGAATTCACCAGTCATCAGGAATGGGTCACGTTTCTGGTTTCAAAGACATGTGAAAGGGAACTGATTTCATACCAATTTTGGAAGTAGCCAAAACACCAGAAAACAAAAAATGACCTCTTGACCAAAGACTTTTTAGCCAAGCCAAGAATATACTAGACAGTACAGGACAAAATAAAACAGGACCTGACATTGCCATCACTCTTTCTCTTCCTTGCCCTCTCTACATTAAGATATCTGTGCTCTCCCCTGTTATTTCTATGAAGAATCATTTCATGCTTTGGAAAGGTAACTATTCTACAGTTTCAAACAGAAACAACAGTGTGGCCCAAGGTCCCTTGAGGCAGAGCTATGAACAGAACCTGACACAGCTAAAGTTAGAGTCCTGTCTCACCCATTTTCCAACTGGAAGACAGTGCAGCAATAATAAACTCTATCGTAGCCTGGCTCTGTGCCACCGTCCAGAAGACTGCACAGAGAAATGCATCACAGGAAGAGAAATCTAATTCTTTATCTAGGTAGGGAAAATCCTTACCAAAAGCAAAAGATCTCAGTCTGGGTCTTAACAGATAATGTGAAGCATGGGTGGTGCTGGTTAGGGCTGTGATACCTTTAGGCACAACCAATTTTCAGTTCCTAAAAGTCTAAAAAAGAAATGAGGAATCCCTATGCCTAGACTTCCACTGATGTCTTACAAATAATTGCATAGGCCAGATGTAATAACTGTTACCAGCCCTACAGTTATGATAGCACAAAGAAGGACAATGGTGGATCCCACTTTCCCCTGCCACAACCAAACTGGAAGATGAGTGTACAAAAGAGACAAAGCCCTGAAATCTGATGGCAATCCATGTGGACATGGATTAAGAGTCTCCCTCACAAGCTGTCCTTAGAAACCTGGACTGACAGCATAAATTATTGCCACACATCATTAAGCAGAACAGCCCAATACTTAGTTTACTACTGTATATTTATGGTTTGCATTGGACTGATCACTGAAAACTCCTTTAAGAATGTACTGCAACAGCTGGAAAAACTCAACTTGAGACTGAGAGCAAAGTGCAGGAGATGGGACCTACACATCCGGGGGGACAAGGGTCAAAACTTCAGCTTAAAACAAATCTCATTAAGAGAGGAAATACTATTACTTTCAGAGATTTATGCCACAAGCTTCTCCCTGATGGTTATGTGGAACTAGATATCAGAGAAAGTGAATTGTTTGTCAGTTTAATTCATTTGAGTATCAAATAACACAAGCGTGTTACATGGATGGCTTCTTTTAATGGACTCTTTTACCTACTCTTATGATCTGCTCGTGATTTCCTTCAATTTATTACACTACAGTCCTTGCTTTGAATGAGGTATTTGAGCAATGCAAAAATACACGTGCAGTTTCACTGCTAGCACTTCATCATCACAGCCACGAGAGTATAAACACCACTTATAAAACACTGAGTCTTTTCTGCTGCTCTGTGAAGACAATTTTAGTAAAGTCTTTCGATTCTGTGCAATATAATAACCTAACAATTTGGAGTGAACCACGAATTCGCTGTTCCTGGGCAATGGGGCTGCTCCACACTGTGTCACTCCATGGCAAAGCCCCAGCACAGCCCTGGCTATTGGCACCGACCGACGCAAGCAGAGTTGCAGAAGACAGATGGAGAAGCCAATGCTAGAGCAACAGATGACAGTATGAGCCAAAACCTATTTCAGATGGAAAGATTGGGAAGTAAATGATGAAATAAAGCCCATAAGAATATGCAGAAGGCATCTTCTCCCAGTTCAGCAAGATCATTTATCACACAAATAGAAAGCAGTTCATTTCAGGAAGGAAATGAGTGAAAACTAAGGGATTATTTGACACAGGGGAAAAAAAAAAACAAAAAACAACAAAAAAAACCCCAAAAACAGTTGCAAGGAAGTTTTTGCTACCAGATAACCACATCAGAGAGAGTGATGGCTCTGGTCCAGTTTTAAACTGAATCATCTGTAACACCAATAAAACTCCAGCCTCCTCTCCCACTGGCACTGTGGCCAACCTTCTGCCTGACGACCAAAGCACTGGTCATGAATCGCCTCAGCACTGGGACTTGAGTGATAAATTTCATGCCATGACATATACATGTATAAACACACACACACGTATATATACACATTATTATTAACAATTATTAAAAAATCATAATTTTTTAGTCTTTACTGTGCTTGGAAGAAATTGAATTCAAGATCAAGTGGTGCCTTAGGAGCCTAGGTACCATCTTCACTTGTTGATACCCACGGAGAGGTGCTTTAGTCCAAATGACATTCTAATGACATGGACAAATTTTGCTGCCAACATTACATTGTCACATTTTATTAAAACAAAACAAAACAAAAGGTCCATTTTACCTTTACAGTAAAATTATACGGATTTTTTTCCGATATATTATAAGTGAGTCTATTAAATACATGAGCTCTATGTAATTACATAAATAATGTACATTTAATATACATGTACATAATACAAAATATAAAAAGAAAGCTAGGACACCTCTAATCTGCTTTATAGCAGGTATCATGGATCTCAAATAAAATATTTAGCTATTAATTATAAACCAGTTATAAATAAAATATTTTATAATAAGCATTTTTAACACATTTTAACAATTCCAGTATCACTCAAAGTGCTTCCCACCCCATCTTGGGACAGCATGCAAAAAAATCCCTAACATCACAAAGGAAGAAAATAAATACATGGGATGCAGCAGAAGAGCAAGCTGGTTGCTAAAATTAAATAAATAAATAAGCAAATAAAGAAATAAATAAATGCCCTGAAATTGAGGTAAGCTTTTGACATTTTCCTTGTTTTCTCCAGTTCATACATTTGGCAATACTGACAGCCTAGTTCTTTACTCATACAAAACAGCGCAGAAGCACTAAATGTGCAAACTCCTCTCCAAAACCTGTGCCAATATATCTTCACTCAGAGCTCCAGGATAATTGAGATTTCTACTTCATTCAGTTCCTGGCAACTGCAGCTACAGTTTTGTGATGTATCTACTAGCAATGGAAGTAAACCAAAATCAACAATTCATTTCACCACGCAGCAGTTATATGGTAAGTATTTTCAATTAGCACCTGAATTCAATTAAATATTTTCAAAGTGAAAGGCTGTTTACCATTATATACCTCAAATTTACTCACTTGTCCCCATCTTCTACTGACATATGACTATCCCATACATTTGGTATGAAAAAGCTCAGAGAGGTATTATTTTTAAAGTCCACAAAGACTGAAAATATGGTTAAGACATTTACTTATACTGCCACGCTGTTCAAAACACGGACTCTTGAAAAATTACGATGCTGATATAAAATGAGAAAGAAAAGCGCTATGCTCTCTTAATGTCTTATAAAGAAATAATCTAAGAGTTTTTCGCAATGTCTCTTCCTGGTTTCTGCTACCACCTACTATTTCTGTCAACACGTGCAATCAGTTTGTGGAGTGAACCCATACAGGATGCAGAAATCACTGTTTAAAACGATCGCTTTAGAAATTTCCTCAGATCCAGTTCCTGCCTTTAATACTGTGTCAAGTGACTGATTTTGTAACGTACCACTAAAAAAGATAAATTTAAACTTAGAATGATTCACATGCAACATCATTTTTTAAATGATAAATGTTTCAAATCGTTTCTACATCTGTCTTAGCTGATTTTTCTAGAAGTGGATCTTCACGCTACTCCAGCACAGTGCCCTCAGCCACAAAACCACGTCAGCTTTTTCCCGTCACTGCTCTTTTCAGAGGATGGAAAGCTAGGAGATCTCCAATCTCCTCCTTAGGCTTTTAGCCTCACAAATGTCAAACCAGTTCAAAAGCCAATAAGGCAACCAGTACAATGAAGTTGTATCATGTGCTGACAGGTGAGTAACCAACGCAGCCAAACTCAAAGCCTACGGAGTATCCTCCCAAGGGCAAATTTAATGGTGTTCTAATGCCACAAAGCATCCTGTCATCACTCCCCTGACCCCCTGAGGTCACTCCCAGCCATCAAAATAGGAAGGAAGAAAAATGAGTTGGGATGTTGCAGTTACTAGCCATCACTTTTTGGAGCGTCCCGGTTTATTAACCTGCAGAACAGGTGGTAGATGCCACAAGTTAGAGCAGGCTGAGCTGTGAGAGGTCCTCCCCAGGACGAGTTCCTCACTGCAAACCTTGTTCTTCCAGTCTCATCAGCTGTACTGATTTTCAAAAGAGCATTTAACAACAGGCACAGATTTACACAGCAGAACATGTCTCAGCCTCGTTGCTGCTTGTATTTCCATGACCAGAGCAGCTACCAGCAGGATGTATTCACAGTGGAGGTGGATGGCCAGGAAACGATGCAATTTGGCTGGCAAGGAACATGACTACATTCTGCCTCCACAGTGATTTGGCCATGGGCTAGATAGTGGCATATACAGCCAAGACAAATACTCACATCTGTAGCTGGTAAGTGTAAAAATGTCTAGGCATTTAGAAGTAACATCACATTTGACAGTCACAAAGCCTGTTGAAAATAGCAGGCCAAATAGGGCTCCAAATCTGCTACATCATATCCAACCTCCATGAAATCCTTGTGTCAAACAAGAAAAATATTGTAAATTCCTTTTCTGCTAGCAGAGGATAAAGTTGGGGAGGCAGAGGGAGAGACAGAGCATGAATCAAACCTAGATCCTTGAATGCCTTCTCCCTGGTACATACCTTAGCTATAGGATCACTCTTAAGTTTTGTAATAAATACTTTATATGTCGCTGCCTTAAAAATTAGCAGGTGGGAGTTCTCTGCTTAGCAAAACATAAAAATATTTTCTAGATAGCCTAGTTAGTTTTAGTAGGAACAAAACCACTTTGTTCTGTAATTTTGTTTATAGACACACACACATATGTACATACAGTTTCAGATATATACATGCAAAATATTTTCACCATGACATCACAATCAAGATTTAAACAAAAACTTTAACATAAACATTTAGAGACTTTATATCACCTTACCATAAAGAGCTTTTGCACTTGTTCTTGAATTCTGCTCCCTCTCTGCCTGAGCAAACGTTGGGGAACCATAGCCACTGGAAGAAAACATTCCTGGTTAACTTCTGTATAGATGAATTTGCCACACAGAAACAGGCATTGAAAAAAACCCTCCCCTTATCATAGAATCATGAAGGTTGGAAAAAACCTCCAAGATCATCAAGTCCAACCATCAGCCCAATGTTATGTAGGACTACACACACCTACAATGTTACTAACAGAGGTAATGATACTGGATATTTGTTCCGCATCACGGATACAACAAAGAATGTTTCACTTCATCTGGAAGCCCTTCTGAGCTATTTTTAAATTGTATTAATACAACAAAACACACAATGGGGGTGTGGTATACACACAGATACTACCATAACACAAATAATCAATATCACTAAATAATAATAACAAAGAATAACAACGACAAAGAATAACAACAATAACAATAGTAGTAGGAGTAATAATAATAATAAAGACTATGCCAAAGACTTGGTAGCATTTTGGGGTTTTTCACCACAAACACAAGTGTTAATTATTTTTAACAATTCCAACTGCTTTCCATAAAAGACTTGAAAGGACTGCCGTTGCCTACAACAAATGAAAAGGCAATCCAACATCCTTCCAGTGTAACAACAAGAATGAGTCACATACAAACTCCCTTTAAAGGGCCAACGATAGGAGAAGCAGATGCCAGCACAGATGCCCTGCTCCATACATGAATACATGTTCTTTGGCATAAGATTAGGTCAATTCTCATTAGCACTGTGAATGAGCCTAGTGCCATCCTTCTGACACAGGGACATTCCCTTATCTCAGGCAAGGGAACGCTTGCAGATAATAGTTGCTCAGTTCTGTTTACTGGGAAATATTTTCTCACAGATGGAAAAGGCAGCCTCATCTTTTATGCACAAAAATGCATTCTCTCAGAGCCAACCTTATTTCAGGTATATGAAAACCTCTCTGAGTCATGTAATAAGTACGTTATGGCTACAGCAATTTGTATTTCTGTTCCAGATGATTTCATTCAGTAATAAAGCTTCACCCTTAGACTAATATAAAATCAGTCAGATCATACCTGTCGGTTTAGTCACATGGTTTGGAAACAGCACGTTCTTTTACAGAAACCACCTTTGTATTATTCCTACGGGATCTAATAATTATAGCTCTATCAGAAATTAAAGCCTAAAGAAAAAAAATTATCCATAAAAGGAAAAATCAAAGGCATAACCTTACTTCATCTGAGGAAAATAACTTCCATATCCACCGGGAGGGGTGTTTGATATATGTCCATTCATTTTTATCTTCACTTACTGAGGGAAACAATCTGGGAAAAGAAACAACAGCACATGAATTGAAGTCTCTGAAAAGATGAAGCTTTAATACAGATGTAATACATACCTAATGAGAAAATTACAGTTGAAACGGGAATGGAATGGCATCAACAAGCTCAATTGTTATTATTTGCATTGCAGTGATGCCTTAAAGATCCATTATGGAACTTCCTTCAATTGCAATTTGATAGTTATTGCTTCAAATAATTTATAATTCAGTGAATAAAGCCATTATTATTTAAACAATAGTCTTTAGGCAACAGCTTTAGAAATAAAAGGCTGACCAAACAAAGAACACCATCTACTGCAGAAGCGAACAAGATGTTCCAAATGGCAACTTTAGTAGTCAAGCATGTTTGATTTTAACCCGCAATTCGTTCTTTCAAATGAAACTTTAGAAATGACCTTTTGATACATATTCTATGAAACTTACCAGCTGAATTGTCAGAAAGATGCATTATCAAAACAAAACACAATTGTTAGCACAAAAGGAAACACGGTTAGCTGTTTTGGGACTAAAAAAATATCTTTTTTTTTTTAAGTAGTATTTAATATCCTAAAAGTTTGGCATGCCAAATTAAACCTCTCATAGAACAGCAATCCTGAAAAAATGATGATGAAACAGTTAAAAGAATGCCTTCTTCCTTTAATAATGTGCCCACTGAAGTTAAAATTGACTCTGGAAAGTGATTTTCATCAACCTGTAAACAATTAACAAATCTCTATTCAAATTTACCATGGGTAAATATTCTTTCATTTACACATATATGAATATTATATATTTTAATATTTCTCTATGTCTCAGACATTAAAATAGAAAAAAAATAATCTTTTAATTCTGCAAAATAGTCAAAAGTACGTCAGGTAAAATTCGTACCTAACAAAAGCTCCGGTTCCAAAGTGAGCACAACCTGCTTGGTTGTACCAGAGCCACCTTACAATCAGCTTATCTTCAGAATCACTAAGTCAACTCACTGCCTGACTTTTGACTGTTCTCTTCCTGTTTCCCCACGAAGCAGCAGCTGATTAATGTACAGTACATACTGTATTTTGTACCCACATATTTTCTGCTACTTTCCTCTTTCACGCAAAAACACAATCACAATCCAATCCTATTCGCAGCTCTCAAGTCTTCTGTCATTTCAAGAGATGCACAAGCTCCTTTTGGTCTTCTGTACTGTGAACAGAGTCACTTTTATACCTTTCTGAGGAACACTTGACATCTCCTACCTAAATCCAAGCTGCACTGATTACGTGCCAGATGTAATCACGTGGAAGTGTGGTATTGCCTTTAGTAAGCTGATACTTGATAATTTGCCTTAGAATATTTTTTTGTTGTTGTAATTTTTTCTTTTAAATCTTTGATTGCTCCTCGCAAAACGTCTTTACTGGAAAATCCATGTTTTACTTTCATTTTTCCTGCACATGCCCATGAATATATCCCGGATCCACCCTGGTAGGCTGTTTTTATAGAGTGCAGTCCTTAGCAGCTGTCTCCAATAAATTACTATCTGTGCCGAGTGCTGCTCAATTCATTAGCAATTACAACCCTTGGGAAGCATCCTGAAATTATCCCATGACTTGAAAGAATAAAAATATTCATTTTCTCAGCAGAATTTGCCAGGTCACTCTGCACTCCTTGTTCCGTTTCAGCAACTGCGTGGAGCAGAGCTACTCAGAGTGCACAGCTAAGGCTGACATTAAGCTCTTCAAAACACTTCCTATCCGCTATTAAATCTTATCATCAGCAACCCTTGCTCAATTTTCCTACTCTGCTTAACATTTTACCCTCTAATTAGCTTCCTAAGAGCGACCAGATCCAAAAACCTCACACAAATTATGCCCATTGCTTTTCAGTATCCCCCCACTTCCTCTGCTTTTCATGTACATTTTCATAAAGACAAAACTTATTTAATATTTTATAATTATTTGCCATATCCTTTTATAATTTGTGGGTTTTTTTCATAGCCCTATTTATAACAAATTCCACAACTATCTTCTTCAAAGTGATATCTAGAAAAAAACCTTGATTTTACACTCCCTCAAAATTATTTCACTCCTCTAACATCATAATCTTACAAATACTTGACTTGCTATTTGTACTCCACTTTTATGAAAGTGGTGAAACAGATATTTTAAGTAAAAGGAATATAATATATTAGAACTTAAAGCTTCAGACTTTAAAGTTAGCATAGCTCACCGAGTTTTAAAGCAGCAATGAAGCTGAACAGCAGATTTTCACATTAGAAAATATCTCATGACTAAATACTTGCCCACCGTAAGGTACAACACAGTGTATAGTAAGAGTAAATATAAAAAGCTCTAAAATTATATGTTGAATCCAGTGAAGATCTGAAGTCACAAATTTTGTCTGTTTTTCAAAGAAAAAAATCAAAACAACCCAGCATGTTCTGCCAAGTAAGCACAAAAGTTCTACTGAGTTTTAGCTTATATGCAAACAAAACACCACTTGGCATTTGATAGCTGAGTAAAGCCAGCAATATTTCCTGATTCTTATGCAATTTTCCACTGTTAAAAAAAAAATAATAAAAAAAAAAATCAAAAGCTTCTGAAATGCCAAGACAACTACTTTGACATGACAATTTCAAGAGGGTATGCAATACTTCTCTCCCTTGGTTCAAGAAAGCTCCTGAATATGAATACAAACAAACCTTTTATAGTCATTATTTACAATTAGGTCAAATACTTATAACAGCATCAAAAAGCTACTCCTAATTCCCCCAAATTATCAGTCAATTTCATCTCTTTCAACCCAAATGTTTAAAAAAATCCAAAAGAAACCCCAAACAAACCCCAAACATTTCAGGAAAACACTTTAAAATTTTTATTAAGTGCATGATGGAGAGAAAGGAAAAAACATAAAAGGATAACAGAATGTGAGGTGCTTCTTTTATTATTCACTTATACAGCTTTCTCTGCTGTATTTCTCATCTTAAATGCTCTTTCATCTCTTACAACCAGTCCTGTAGCAAAAGTCAAGCCGTGCACACTGCAAAGCCATTGTCATCCTGGAGTCTATTAATAAACTCTACTTCCTCTTTAATCTTCCCTTTCACCTCAGCTCAGCAGTTCACAGCAACATATGCTGGCGTCCTAGACTTTAAGACAAATATCCTTCAAAATTAACTGTATGATCCCTCTTTAATAGGTCCTGAAGTATTGACAGTTTACTTGTGAACAGGCCCAAGAATGGTCATGTCTTTCTCAGGATCTGGAGAAGACATCATGCCTACTCTGAGCAAGAAATATGTAAAAACAGGAAAATGAAATTAGAATTTAGGAAGAAAAGACAAATAAGAAAATAGCTAAAATAATAAGCAATAATAAGATAAATATTAAAATATTTATCTCAAAATATATTAAAATATTATTAAATGTAGTAAGAAAATAGTTATAGGTACAAAATTCCTAAACCGAAATAAATACTAAATTATCTTCCTGTAGAATCAGAGACTGAAAGAAAAGAAATCCACCTAGGACTTCACTGCTGCCACCAGCTTTATTTTTGAAGGGACTCTAGCAAATTGATAGTAAGCAACAATATAAATGACAAGAGTCCAGCCTTTATAACAGACAAACCATTTCTGAGAAAGATATCCTTTGGTTCTTTAGTAGTTAACAGTCACAAGTGGTCTAATCCCAAACATAGGGAGTATTATATTGGTATAAAACATGATTACATCAGACAGAAATATTCATTTATAAAAAATGCCCAAATGCTAAAATATTCTTTGCCTTCCCCACCTTGTAGCACAGCAGCGTAATGAAAGCAACACAATCTGTGTGCAACGAGCTGACACACTGACAACTCACGTGTTGGTTTATTTACTACGAGGGGTTTGAAGGTAACAAAATCCCTCAATTTATTTTTAAAAAAATAAATATATCTTTTCTGGAAGGGCAGAGCTATTTTGTTAAAGAAAATTAGATATTCCAGAGACTGATGCCCATTTCCACTCCTCCTGAATCTATCAGTCTCAGCCAGCGACAGATCACGGTATCAGATGGAAAAGAAGAAGAGCTTCACGCCATGGGTATTTTATATATTATGCCGGGGGAAGGGTTAAGGAGAGGAGGATGTAGGGGAAGGAAAAGGAAAGCCAAGAATGGCTGGAAAAATAATTATCTACCGATTAAGAAAATGTTATTAGTAGCAAGTCATTGTTATCACATGCCCCAAAAAACCCCCAAGAATTCTTCCCCAGCTAGATAGCAGGCACAGGCTGTAACTCCAGCCCGAACAAAAACAAGTGGACTATTACAAGGTACCACTTATCTCTAGCAGATCTGACCGTGTAGCAACACCAGAAAAGGACACATTTTCTCCACCCTTTCCCTTTTTAAAATATTACAAAACAACAACAACAAAAATCAGATGTATCCATGGTACACTGTAACTCCCCACAAATTCAATAAAAATGCCTCTTACTGCTATTCTGCAGCATTCAGTACTGCTGCTCTACAGAACGTAGAAAAACTATTTAACTTGCTGTGTGACATTATTTTTCATTTGTTTCTTCTCAAACCTCACCCTGCTCACACACTTCCCTTCCTCATGCTAAATTTTTGAATAGTTATTACTTTTTACCTCCTTGTTTCTCTACATTGAGGTAATTTAGTTATTCCTTATGTTCTTGTATTTTGGTGTCTTCTCCTCTTGTGTCTACCTGCTGTTCTCACCCAACACTCTCCTATTTGTATCTTCACTCCAGCCACAGATTTTACAAATGGGAAACTCCAGATAGAAATAGGTCCCATGGAGTCAGAGGAAACACGAGTTCTGCTGGCTGTTTAACATCTTGCCTGGAGATAACCACCAAGATGCACGTGCATGCTTAAGCAGGTATTACTACAGAAATGATCACCAGGGATTTTCTATCCTTGGTACATTGATATCAGAATTTCTCTGAGACAAACTGCTACTGGTTGGGTTGGCAGCAGTTTTCTGTTTACTGCAATGTTTTCCGT